AAGAAATTATCCTAATTCTACGTGCATCCGTAGATAAAGCGTGACATGTGATTTATTTGGCCCATTCAATATTAGCATCTATACATGAGTTCCAAAAGCTGTATGACACATGCTTGTGTCTAACTATGGAATATCTAAAGTGCTAAAATATCTAATTCGGAGAGGTCGATATCTGTGGGAGTTCAGATCAAAACGTGTCTTGTCTACAAAACTTCGGTTGCGAATTGTGATGTAGCGGGGAAGATCCACGCGGAAAGTTTCTATAGACCGATAGTTTTCCACTTTTCCTACATACCATATCACTCGAAAAGTTAAAATAATTCGGGAAATTGGACTTAATAACCAAATAAAAAACTGACTAATTAGTTTTTTTTTTTTTCCACTCTTGATTATTGAACTTTTTTAGTTATCTAGCAAATTGACTCAAATAAATTTATCGAAAAGATATTAGAAAGTTGAGAAACTTGTTGTACCACTTGCATAACTTAATTTTATTAGTTAAATGTTTGGACGTAAAAAATCATTCAGTAATCCAATTTATGCGGAAGCTTCAATGCTTCTACACGATGACTTATGAAGTCCATGATGCATGAAGTTAGATTCTCATATAATTTACGATTTATGAAAAAATATGATGATTAATAGAATTAAGTTTATATGAAATCACCCATATTAAAAAAATAAAACCATTTGTTGTGTTTCCACGCATTAAAGATAATAAAAATGTTTATAAAAACTATAGAATATAAAATCATGTTATCCATGATAAAATCATTTTTGTAACCGTTTTCATAATTTTATGCCTCACTATAAAATGATATGCATCAAACCATTTAGTTGAACAAGAATTTAAAAAAAAAAAGTTAAAATGATTATAAAAAAAAAGTGTATTGTGGTTTTATTGCAAACCTATATTCCACAAGGGAGACTCCCACAAATTGAAAAGTCAACAATATTGAATTTAAACCAAGTTGGTAGTCCGACAAAAAAAAAAACCAGTTGTTCTGACTTTCAACGTCATCACGTTTCTCAAAACCTTTGGGACTACTAGAAAAGACATCACATATTTATTCCACACAAATAAAACTCTTCTAGACTCTTTTGACATTTTCACATTCTTCCTCATCATCATCGTCATTGCTTTGTTGAATCTTGTTTTATACAGTATTTTTATACACTATTTCCATTAAGAATTCAACTAGTTTGTGCATAAATTTCCGTATAACTCCATTACTTAAATCAGGAGACCAATCCACTGACTCAAATTTTGATTCGTCA